CGGAAATATAAAAGAATTAAAAAGGTAAAAGGATGGGCAGTGAGGGATAAGATTTCTAAGCATAGAGAACAGCATCTGCAAAGCCCCTGAGTCAGAGGAAAGGATGGTGTATCCAAAGCTTTGAAAGAAGAGCCAGTGCAGCTGGAACATGGTAAGAAGGAATAAATTGGTGAGAGATGAGGCTTGAGCTTGCAGGGCCAAGTCATGTAGGGTCCTGGGAAGACTTTGAAGGGACTCAAGTCACAGGTCTGACATGTCATTATTCCATCTAACCAACCAATTCTTGAACATTTGCACTGAAAGAGATGACCCAGTTTCTGTCTGTGGCTTACAGCCTCGTGGAGAACCATTCTTATTCTGGTGGGTATTAGGGTTTTGAAGAGACACAATTAATGGCACTTTTTTTGCCCACTTTTGAAATCAATTGAAAAATAAAACAACACAGTCAGCAGAGGAAGATGATAAGGATGAAGATGAAGCAGATGAATCAGATGCCATTCTTATTTCTAAAAAGGCTGTGTCAGAAGACATAGCTCATTCTAAGAGCCAAAGTGAGCTTGCAAACTCCCTTCTGTCCAGTTCAGACTATGGGAGCTTACCTGAGGGAAAGTTTGGGTTTGCACAGGTTTCACACCTACCCAGGCTACTGTTTTCCACTGTGCTATGTGGAGAGGGAAGGTAGGAAGAACTGAATTAATTAGTTCCAGATTGAATTCCTCCTCCCTCCCCAGTGTCCTTTTTTGTTTTTGTTTTAGTTTTTTTGGGGGGTGGGGAACAGGGTCTCACTGTCACCCAGGCTGGAGTGCAGAGGCACTATCCCAGCTCACTGCAACCTCCGCCTCCCAGGCTCAAGTGATCCTCCCATCTCAGCCTCCTGAGTAGGTGGGATCACAGATACACGCCACTATGCCTGGCTAATTTTTATATTTTTGGTAGATATGGGTTTTCACCATGTTGCCCAGGCTGGTCTCGAACTCCTGAGCTCAAGCAATCCACCCACTTTAGCGTCTCAAAGTACTAGTGTTACAGGTGTGAGCCATTGCCCCCGGCCCCCAAGGTCCTTTGATAGATGAGCTTCCCTTCTTCAGAAATGTGGACTTACTGCTTCCACTTAGCAGCCAGGTCACTGTCCCCACATCTGTAGGGAGGGAAGGGGGTTGGACAAGAATCCAGCAGTACTTAGGGAGACTCTATTCTCATGATTGGAACTTCAAGAGTAGGGAATAAGTGTTCCTCCCTTGTCGTTGCTAAAAGACATTAAGAGAAAGGACTCAAAATACAACCTGGTCCTTTTCAGTGAAGATGGATTCTGATAAATGACGATGGATCACCTCCTACAGGAGAACACAATGCTACAATCCCCAAAGCATGTGATTTCCATGCTGAACTAACTTCTGTTTGCTTTTTCATCCACATAAGCAAAATTCTCCAGTTGTTTCTTTTTCAAACCTTGCTTGATGTGACAGATGCCCAAATTAAAAGGGTGACTTTTAGGGTCACAGAATGTTAGTGCTGGAAAGGATTTCAAGGTCATCAAGTCTAATCCTCCTACTCCTTACTTTATTGGAAAACACAAGACCCAGAGAGATGAAGTGGCTTGCTCAAGGTCACCCAAGCCGTTTGTGTCCTCCCAATCATTGGGATTCTATGACTAGCGATATTTCCAACTACATCACGTTGATATAGCTGAGAAACTCATTATTTATAGAAAACCTGTGATGCCTTTATTGAAACAAAGCACAGGTTTTTATAAAATAAAAGTCACCCTTTTATCTGTTAACAAAAATTTGTGTTTTGTTTATTAACTTTTTTACAGTGGAATAACCCCTGAACTAGTGGTTTGATTATTCTGATCCTAATAAATGTCTCCTTTTTAATGTTCTCTTTTCCTAATTAACCAAGTGCCAAGTAGAAAGAGATAAGTTATGCACTTTAATTACAATAACCCCAGGCTACAGGGAGAATTCTTATCACTGGCTTGGACCGTACATTCTGTGCTACTTAGAAATAACATTGGTGAAAACTTCCTGTAAGCTGTGGATTTGGGATCCGAGGTGGCGGGGCAGGCAGGAAACAGAAGCAGTGAGGCTTTAGTTCCAGGTTTCTTCCATCATGCTGTGCCTGGTTCTCTCTGTGCTCATTTCCTTCTTATTAAAAATGGGAAATGACTATTATCCTGGATTATTGTGAGAGAGGGAGTTTAGGATGCTGCAAAGATGACTGGGTTGCAGCAGCAGGAGCCCAGAATTCTAGATCAGCTCTGCCACTAATGAGCTGCTTCTCTGGGCGAGTCTCATGGATTCTTTGAGCCTTAGTTGACTCCTCTGTAAAATGGGCTGGTTGTGTTAGCTGATCCCTGCAGTCTTTCTACGAAAGCTAAAATTGCTTTGACTCTAAATCCTTGTGATTCCATATTCCTTTTCCCATTCTTCTTCCATACCCTATGTTTCCCCAAACTGAGTGAACTCAGGTTTCAAAGAAATAAGTTACAAAAAGTGTCAAAACAGAAACAATTTTTACAAAGACCAAAGAACATTATTCATTGAAAAATATGTGCCTTATTTTACTTGTCAAAATGAGCAGAGAATCTAGGATTATTTCCATTCTCATTATGGTATCATTTCATAGCAGCAGCAGTTTGCTTGTGGTCCTTTTCTCTGAGGAGTTCCCTTCAGGAAACAGAATTTCCTAGAGCAGATGGAGGGGCAGTAAGAGATCTCAGCCACCTGCATTCTAACCCTTGGCTTCTCTAACTTCCAGGTTATTCTGACTGAACTATCTTTAGATACTCGATGCAAAAAAAAATTGTGCGATAGAGTCTTATGGACATCGAACTAAGAATCATATTATCTGGTTCTAGAGTTAGAGCTTCCTCTAATGAGCTGCATGGTCTTGATTTTAAGTCAATTGTCTTCTGTGGCCTCAATTTCCACGCTTGTGAAATGAGAAGATTAGGCTGGATGGTGTCTAAGATTCTTTGCATTCTTAATTCTAGCTTCATTTGGAGAAAAGGACAGGATTGGTGGCAGTTTTGGGGGTCTTTGGATTGGGAGGCAGAGTCCCACCATGTTGAGCAAGGGCAGGACATAGTTCAGCATTGTGGGAGTGTCTCCTCTCACTCCTCTCAAAGGTGTTGGCCTTTGTTGAGTACATGACGTGTTAGTGACATGGAGGAAGGGAAAGGATATCAAGAAATCTAAAATGTGGTTTCTGCCCTCAAAGGATTTACAATCCAGTTGGTAAACACAAGGGCAAGAGTCTAAGGCCAGGATCCCAGAAGATGTACACACCACCTTACACATGGGTTGACTTTATCAAGCAATGGGCATTTATGCTGATCAGAGGCACATATCCATGGCTGGGTAGCCCCATCCAGGAGAAGATGAAGGAATGTCCTACAGGTCTTGGTGGCTTCTTACTTTGTGAAGTCACCATTTTTTCCTCAGAAGAGTCTGTTTTCTTTTTAGAATGTCGCTTGATTTTGGTCTTTTGATGGCACACATTAAACTCTGTCTCCATAGAATGCATGCCCCCTGGGAGAATATGTAGGCTGTGTGTAAGGAGATAGGAGTGGGAAAAAGACGACAATGGGAAAAAGCATTAACCAAAATCCTAGGGTAAGAAAATACAAAATGCATTCAGGAGACAACTGGCAGACCAGTTTGGCTATTATACAGCTTTTAAAGAGTATTTTTTAAAAAACAACAAAAACCTGAAAACGTAATTAAGATTCAGATTAAGTAACATGATGTCAAAAGACAGACCAAGGATAAAATCTAGCCCTGCCATTCCTCATCTGCCTGCCTTTGAGCAAGTTATTTAATCTCTCTGTGTCTGTATCTCCACTTGGTAAAATGGAAGTAATAACACCAATTTTATAGTATTTTGTGAGGATTAACTTAAGCAGTGTATGAACAGCTCCTGGCACACTAAGAATGATCAACATATGGTAATTTTCTCAAATTCTCCGATCTTTCTACCTCCACAGTGGCTTTTTCTGCAATAGGCGATTAGGAGAGCAGTCACCAGACAGACCTTGGATGTGAGTTCAGCTCAGCCAGTTATAAACTGTTGGATTTTAGGCAAAATACTTAACTACTCTTAACTTCAGTTTTCTTATGTACAAAATGGGATTAGTCATACTTACCTTGTAAGATTATTGAAAAGTTTAGAAATATATCATGTTCAGCACCCAATAGTACCGGGTAAGAAGAGGAGAGGGAGTAGAATTCAATAAATCATGGTGATTAGGGGGGAAGAAGGAGGAAAAAAAGGAGCTGTTTTAATTGAGAACCTTGAATTCTTGATCAAGAAGCCTAGAATTTATGTTGTAGGCAGTGGAGAGTCACTGAAGGTGATTTTTCAGATAGGAAACCATAGGATAAAGATGAAGAGAATCTTAACCTTGTTGAGAATGTGTCAATAAGGCGCACAGGGCAAGGGAGAACAGCCTGGAGGGAGAAAGACCAACCTACTGAAGACAAAAGCCAGTTGGCTTTATGTATATGCTATATAATTCTTTTACTACCAAATGGATTTCTTCTTCTGGAATCTAACAATTCTGAATGTATGAGAGAGGCAGAGATAGAAATGGAGAGCGACGGAAAGGACAGAGGGGAGAAAGAGAAAGAGAGAGGTGCCAGGAGAGAGAGATACAGTAGTTCCCTTTCCGCGGGGGATGCATTCCCAGATGCCCAGTGGATACCTGAAACTGCAGATAATACTGAAACCTATATATGCAGCAGAACTAGCATAAATTTTGTTTTCCTTCACAGTTTCACAGACAGAAGATTTGTTCTTGTCATAGATCTTAGCAACCTCAACATGTGATTTTTTTTCTTTCCTTAATTCAGTTGAGAACTTTCACCTTTTAATTTAAAAGATGCACTTCATGGCTTCTCTTTGGCATATCTGAATCCCAGAATCACTGCTCTTGCACTGTGGGGCCATTATGAAGTCAGAAAAGGGTTACTCGAACATAAGCACTTCGATACCGTGACAGTGAATCTGACAACTGAGACGGCTGCTGACCAAGGGGCAGGGAGCATATGGAGCATGGATGCGCCAGACAGGGGGATACTTCATATCCCAGGCAGGACAGAGCAGGGCAGCGTGCTATTTCATCATGCTACTCAGAACTTAGGAATTGTTTATTTCTGGAATTTCCCATTTAATATTTTTGGACTGTGGTTGATCGAGGGTAAATGAAATTGCAGAAAGCAAAAATACAGATAAGGGGGACTGCTTGCTGTACGAAGACAGAGACAAGAGGAGGGAGCTGTCCTCAAGGGCTTTTTGTGCGAAGACATCTGGCACACAGATATGCTGCATGCAGGTGGCTTTAGAGAACATGCATCCAGGTATAAATCTGGCATCGACAGGTTGAATTTTCAGTTGACAGGTGGGCTACTTTAAATAAAACTGGGGAATTGGTGTGGAAGGGGTGAGAACACCACCTCCGCTTTGTTATCCCACCTCCACCAAGATGTTCCTGAACCCCTGAGAACAGCTCACTCCACCCTGTCTCTGGGTTATCTGCATCATCTGCTGACCACATTTGTGTCTTCTGGTCTGGGAGGAGATGGATTTCTGGTCAACAGCACGCCCCCTGACAAAAATGACTTTCTGCCATTTCCTTCCATTCCATTTTCAATCTGATTGCTGTTTGGCTTGAAGGAGTGCTATGGTCGGAATGTTTATGTCTCCCTCAAATTCATATGTTGAAATCCTAACCCCCAAAGTGGGGCCTTTGGGAGGTGCTTAGATCATAAGGGTGGAGTCCTTGTGAATGGGATCAGTGCTCTTTTTAAAGAGGCCCAAAGGGCCTTGTTTGCCCTTTTCACCATGTGAAGATTCAGTGAGAAGGCACCATCTGTGCCCTCATCAGATACTGCCAGCCCTTTGATCTGGGACTTCACAGCCTGCAGAACTGTGAAAAATAAATGTTTGTGGTTTACAAGCCATCAGTTTATGGTACTTTTGTTATAGCAGCCCGGACAGACAAAGTAGGAGGGTGAGTTTGTCTTCGTGAGAATGGTACGTGATTTAGCTTATTCTGAAAGCAAAATGTCTTTAGTTTATGTTTTTTATGCTTTTTATGTTATCTTTCCTTTTTCTTTTTCACTAGTCATCCAAACATTGGATGTCTAAAAACTAGTGGGCATCAGCATCCTACCAAAGTCAGTTTCTGTTGCCAAAGTTGTTACTGCCCTAAAGGCTGGTGCCTGGCTTGTTCAGTTGAGAGAGGACAGAAAGTTAGCACCTGTGCTGGCCCAGATCCACTGTGAGGACGTGCAGGTGCCCTGGAGCTGCTCTTTGAAAGGCTACCACCTCCTGATGGAATGCTTCCTGTGTGCAGCCTAAGTCAGAGCACTGTGGATCAGTGGGTTCTGCGGATGACAGTTGAATAAAAATGCCAACTGAATGTTCCCCAAAAGACAATGCTCTGTATTGACGTCTGAGAGCTTTTCTCACCCACCTTTCAGTTCTAAAGATTTTGTCATCCTGCTAAGATGGATGAAATGGTTGGCCCCCAAGATACCTTATAGGGCCCCCTTTTTTTTTGATTGTGGGAGTGTTTACTATAATCTCCCTTTCTTGTTTTAAAGACTGTTTAGTGAAATACTTTGTACATCAAAAGTATATATATAGGATATATATAAAACATATAAAAATAATATGAATATTTACATGTAGCCAGCACTTACCTTAAAAAATAGAATATGATGGAATACTCGCAAAGGCCCCTGTGAATCACACCTCATTCACATCCTTTTTCTATCCTTCCTTGGGTATTTATGTGATTGTCCTGCTTTTTAAAAGAGTTTAAATTACATATATATGTATCCCTATGTAATATACTGTTTTGTTTGCTGTTGTCTTTTATATTATGTCATCAAACTAGATGTGTTCTTTTGCAACTTACAATTTTTTTGCATGAAATCATGTGAGATTAAGCCATGTTGATACATTAAATGATGATTCATTCCTTTCCCCTACTATATGGCACTCCATTCTATAGATATACTATAAATAATTTAGTCATTCTTTGTTGATGGACATTTGGGGTATTGTTTATTCTTATAAATCACATAGTTGGAGTATTTTTACTATTACAAATTCTGATGCTATGAACCTGTTTTGCACATGCCTCTTGGTACACATGTGCAAGAGTTTCTCTAACATTTGTAAGTTGGGGTGGGATTGCTAGGTATGAACAAACATCTACTTTATGAAATATTTCCAAGTATTTCACAAAGTGACTGGACGAGTTTATACAAGTACTGTATGAGTCCTCATTGATCCCATCCTTAGTAATATTTTTATTACCTGATTGACATTTTTGCCAGTCTTGTCAGTGTGAAATGGAAGCTCTTTCTGGTTTCAGTGGGAAATTCCTTAGTAACTTACGAGAGGAAACATTTTTTAATATGTTTTGGTCATTGATGCTTCCTTTTCTGTGTTGAATTCGTTGTTATGTTTCCAATACACTGCGTTCCATTCGGTGCAGCTCTGCCTGCGGCTGAGTTAGCCTAGACAGTGGAGCAAAGGCCTGTGCTGATGAAAGGTGTGCTGCTTTTCTTTGTGAAGGCCCTGAGGAGGCGGGAAGTGGCCGCTATGGACCCCGTTATATCACCGACATGGGAGCCGGTGAGGATGATGAAGGATTTGAAGACGACTTAGATTTGGATATTTCCTTTGAGGAGGTAACAATAATCTCTGCTCTTAAAACCCAGGGCGTTTGTGTTTCCTTGCCGAACAAGGCAATTTAGCCAATGGACCATAAACGTTGTACTTAAAACTTAAATGGGCCCATTTGCTTTTAACACTGATTTGTTTCCTCTGACGCTTAGTCTCCAGGGGCTGATAAATCAGTAGCAGGGAAGTACCAGCCGTGCTGATGGTCCGTAGGCAGCTCCTGCCTGCGGACTCCACAATCTGGCAAAAACATACTTCGATTTCCCGCCAAGGGAAATTTCAGAAAATCGGGTATTATAAGGAAATGAACAATTCCTTGACAAAGTCATGCATCTTCATCATATTAGAATAAGAATAAATCATGTAATATCAGTTTTACTGCTGATTTTCTGAGTAACACAGGGAAAAGCACTGAAAGTCCCTGAGCATCAAGCTCTTTGTCCATAAACTGGAGTCAGTGCTGCCTTCCCCATCTCCATCCTAGGGTTTTTGGAAGTGACCATGTTTTAAAGTACTAGACAACAGCTATAAATAAAACAGTCCAATTGCCGTGCTCTGTGTTCATCCTGAACCCCTTTCCTTCTCCGGCTTAGGTTAAACCACTTCCTGCTACCAAAGGAGGGAATAAGAAATTTTTGATGGAAAGCAAGAAGATGTCTATATCTAACCCAAAGACCATTTCCAGGCTCGTCCCCCCTACCTCAGCATCTCTCCCTGTGACCACGGTGGCTCCCCAGCCCATTCCCATAGAGAGGAAAGGGAAGAATGGTGTGGCCATAATGTCAAGGCTCTTTGACATGCCTTGTGATGAAACTCTCTGCTCTGCTGACAGCTTCTGTGTCAATGACTACACCTGGGGGGGCTCACGATGCCAATGCAACCTGGGCAAAGGTGGTGAGAGCTGCTCAGAAGGTAGGCCCTTGGGGGAGAGGAAGAATGTGGTGATGAATTAGCACCATTGAGAGCCAGAGGGCAGTTTTGTGGTCCAAACATAGTTCCTTCTAGTCCCTTTTCCAAGATAAGTTCCATCTTCCACATATTAGTCATTAAATTAGCTATACAAGGCAAATTGTGAGGCAACTTTCATTGCTTCTAAGTAGACAGCAATCCTATTTCTATGTGTGCCAAATGTGTAGTCCCTTTAAAGCAATCGATAAATCATCCTGATACTACCTTAGAGAGGTAGGTTTTACTATAATCACATCTCTACCAAAATATGCAGCTAAAACTTATGCATGAGGGTTAAGAAGGGTAACAACTGGGCCAACTTGTATTACACAAAGGCCTGTATAGCTGAGGGCAAGTGACAGTGGTTTCTTCTTAGGAAAGTCATTGGTTTCTTCTTAGGAAAGTCAGTGCCAGTCTCCAAAAATGCAACTTCTTCCTAAGAATTTCAGAAGCTCAAAGTCTCCAAGAATGAGAGTTGTAGGTATAAAAAGTATAGAAAAGAAGACAGCAAAGTTGAACAGATTAGTGAGGGTTCTCACTTAATGATATCCAGGCAGTGCTGTATATTGATTTTTGCTTTTGAAGCAGTGAGGAAATAGCATTCTTTTGTGTTATCTTTTTTCTTCTTCAGATATTGTTATCCAGTATCCTCAGTTCTTTGGCCACTCCTATGTAACGTTTGAACCTCTGAAGAACTCCTATCAGGCATTCCAAATTACTCTTGAATTTAGGGTAAGAGGGACACGTTGTTTGATGAGTGCTTTTTGGACACTTTAACACAGCAATGTTCAAAGGCTGGGGGAGAGGAAGAGAGGCAGCAGGAAGAGCGATCAAAGGTAAATATGACACAGAGCCTGTCTCTAAACCAGCTCATGAGACAAGAGGATTGAGGAGCACATTCACAACATTCAAGTGTGACAGTGAGGAGACAGTGGGTTTGTATGTCACTGAACTCTAGAGTGGCTGACATGAAGCTTCCAAGTGAGAATGTTGGGGTCCGAGCAATGTTGTTCATAATAGTGATTTCTCCCAGGCCAGGATTGAGAAGAAACAATGCATTCCCCGTCCCAAAATTGTTTAAAAAGAGAGCCCAATTCTCTGTCTTCATTGTGATAGCTGTCACTGAACAAATAGAAAACCGTTCTCTATGCAACGTTTGCATTGTGAGGGCCCAGTGGAGGTTCTCTGATTTGAATCAACAGCAGATAAGAATTCAATCAGTGACCTCAGCTTAAACTGATTCTTTTGGGTATCTCCAATGACATAAAAAGGTCTGGAGGTCTGGAAAGAAGTCTCATTTGAAGTCATGGCCACAGTGTTGAGTCTTCACGAAATGACCCATCTTAGTCTAAGACCACCAGCACAGCTTTCGGTTGAGCTGTTCTTACCATCCTGTTCTCCTGATAGAAGGAAAGAAGCAAATGTGCATTCCTCCCCAAAGGGAGGGAAATAGAAAGAACAAAGTGAAAGTAGAATTGGATGTACACCAGCAGCGTCCTCACTGTGACCGTGGTCTTTGTACATTTGGCTTTCCGAGGATCTGCAGGTGCATCCACAAAGGACATGTCAAGAGCAGGTCAAAGATGGAGTCACCTTCCTCTCGCCTCACTGCCACCTCTCAGTTTATATCACTGCCATTTGTTTATTGAAATGAACTGGGACCAGGTATCTGGGAGTGAATTGGAGCCCACATGCTTGACCCTTTGTAGATAGGATCGTGGAGGGGAAAATGCTCAAGTTTCACATTTGTGAGTCTTTCCAGATGGCGCTTTATGGAAGGGGAGGCACTTACTGTTCATGTAGCTTTTGTTTGTATAATCACAGGCGGAGGCGGAGGATGGCTTACTGCTCTACTGTGGGGAGAATGAACACGGGAGGGGAGATTTCATGTCCCTGGCTATCATCCGACGCTCCCTGCAGTTCAGGTAATTCCTGCCAAAAGCCTAACACTCTTCTTTTGTTACATTATCCTACGTTATATTTGCATTTTTGTAGTATAAGAAATATATACAGGATAGATTCCAGTAGACGAAAGAATGGTTTGTATAAAATAAGTATGATACGAACCAGTTTACCAAATACTGGGGTACTGGGATTGCAGGATAACCTATAAAACTTGCGTTTTGGGACCTTGTAATCATTCATTCATTCAGCAGCACCTACAGTGTACCTGGCTCTGGAGGTGTTGAGTGTACCTGGCGCTGCAGGTACTTTTGAATGTACCTGACTCTGGAGGTGCTGTTGAATGTACCTGGCACTGCAGGTACTGTTGGATGTAACTGGTGCTGTAGGTGCTGCTGAATGTTTCTTGAGCATCTACAGTGTACCTGTCTACAGGCACTCCTGTCGATCCTGAAGATGCAGAGTGAGCCAAAGGAATACAGTTCCTTTTCTCTGGAGCTCTAGTGGATGTGATGGGAAGAAGGCTGGGGTCTTCTTATTTCCTTTTGGCAAATGTGGCTGACAGGTGTGGACTGAGAGGAGCCTCCAGCCTCCCATGGGCTCCCCATCCTCATCTTCCTCTGGGCTGTGCTGGGAACTCTTTGGCTTGCCTCCACTGCCCTCATCGTTTCTCCCCCAACATGGAAGCCACCTTTAGCTTATGTGCGGTCTTCTGCAAGGCAGAGTTTTGTGGAGAGGTGAAGGTTTTAATGACTCTTGTGGAGGTGTGCAATGCACCTCTTTGTGAACAACCAACAGGCACCAGCCTGGTCCTTCTCCGTGGTGCACTCGCTGACATCCTAATGGCACCAACCCCCTGCTGCCCGACCTTCAGCATATGATGCAACCTCTCCAAGCCTGCGTTTCCTATGGGGCTGTTGTGAGGGTTAAATGAGTTAATTCATAAAAGCGCTTAGAGCAGCGTCTGATCCAGAGCAAGTACTCAATCAGCATCAGCCATTATTGTCTTCTTAAATTACTTTCAGCATAAAAAATGTTTTTGGTTAAGTTGAAGAAGGCCTCTGAGTATCCCACTTGGGCTAGACAATGGGCCCCCATGCTTTGCTAAATGGTTTGATTCATGAAGTTTGGTGTTAGCCACCAGGATCTTGGGTGGTATTTTTTACCTTGTGGGGTTCTAGCACTTGGAGGATCAGATAGACTCTCGGTAGCACTGACTGTTGTTAGCTGGTAGCAGCTCTCCAACTATGCAACTCCTGCTGAGTGAATCTGCTATCCTCCTTGGGGTAAGCCTGTCCCGCAATACCTCTTGACTGCATCTCACTTCACTGAGGATCTCGAGACAAAGGGAGGGCCTGAGAAGTGACTGCAGTTAATGAAAATGCTAGTAAGGAAAATGCTGGCCATGACTCCTTCCCCACGGGAAGTCTCAGGATCCATGTGGAAGAGGCCTGGTGGCTATTTGGAAGTTGACCAGAAAGGTCCAAGATTCCACCTATTAGGCATGGTGACCGTGGGCACTCCCGGGCCATAGGGAGATTGGGATAAAAACAAGAATAATGTAGCCATCTGAGGACGCTCCTCCTCTGTCTCACCTCTCTGCTGAGCTTCCTGTGGACCTCGCCTGTGTTTAGGTACAGCTAAGCACAGATGGCAGGGCTGGCCAGCTTGCCAAAATGAGCCTGAAGACCTGGATTTTTATATTTTATGAATATCACTGAGCTTTGTTATTTGAGAGTTGGGAAAGTCCCCAGAGAAATCCTTGGAAGCAGAGTGACTCGTATTCTAATTCTCTGTACCTTGAATTCATGGTAAGCATTTGGCAATCGCTGAAAACAAGAAGGAGGTCCTTAGTTGCCCATCATTTTCTTTTCTTTTTTTTCTTTCTTATGATTTTTCCTTTACTTTTCTTATGGGTCCTGTCCTTTTCAGAAACAGAGAAGGCTAAATTCCTAATGAGCC